TTCGACGGTGACACGCGACGCGGCCGCTTCTGCACAGAGGTTGTTCGCCTCGAATCTATCGCCATGATCACCCACTCAATCCTCAAATATCATTCCCCGGAATGAGACGCATGAATAAAGGGTGTAACGTGTTGTCTGTCGTAGCCCCCCTCGAAACGGCACGTTCCCTTAAAATATACAAGCATGAGACCTCGGTGCTTTTCCATTATCGGGGGGGGGGCTTAGGAGAGCAATTTTTCTGCTAAAATAGAGGAAGTGTTTGTAAACTGTTGTTGACTGCTCCGGAAAAAAAATGCAGAAATATCGATTTTCGACCAGAAATTCCGATTTTCCATCAGCATGGGATAATAGGAAACCCCCCCGATAACGCCAAAGCACCGTAATTTTCCCAGTCTGCTCGGATCGGGAACGATTAGCCCTTTCCGGGTACTGGGCCATTAGCGGGGGGAAGGCAATTTTTTGGATCTAAAACCGACACAAAATTATGGCTAAAAATTAAGAAAAATGGAAAACGGGATTACTAGGGAAAACCCGTTCCCCTCCGCTAACAGCCCAGTACCCCTTTTTCATTTTCAGAAGCCAAGAGCTAGAGCATTCGCGGGATGAGCTGCGCCGGACACTGGACAGCCTCGAGTATAAGGCCCAGGTTCGTGGGAAGGGCCAGGGCCACGTCTTCACCGGAATTCGCTTCTAACACAACACCACATGTCCAATAATCGAATTATCTTGTATCCCTGCACGAATTATCACTAACAAATAAATTGTCGATACCGGATATGGACGTGAAAATTGGATTTAGGAACCGCTGAAGCGACAGATTCGAGCACTCAGCGAACAATTGGCAGAGAGCCAGCAGCGTTGCAAGGTATGAAAGAGGAATAGAATGTTTATGGTGCTTTGGCATTATCGGAGGGGGCTGTTTCTTTCTACGCTATTTTCTACGCCCAAAGCTTTCTGCAATCACTAGAACAAGGGATTTTACACAGTTTTGAAAATTCTTAAACGTAGGAACTTCACAACTGTTGGCTAAAAACCTAATTATATGTGTACGTTTAACCTCCAGCACCGAATCTGCGTATTTAGGAGCTGAACGGACTCGTCTCCAGCCTCACCTCCGATGCGCGCAATAGTCAGCATGAAGCCGCCGATTTTCTCTACGAAACGGCCAGCCGAATTTGATGGTTTTTGACAGTGAATAAATATTTCCAACTGCTCCGATTTTTCCTATAGACGTCTGGGTTTAATGCTTTATTCCGGAAAGAGGTTAGCTATGATTCTTTCTTGCTGTGCTGCTTCTTGTCCGCCTTCCATTGTCGCTCATTCGATTTGCGCTGTCGTTCGGCGAGTAGTCGTTTCCGTTCCTCTTCGCCTGGGGTTGCTGTCACCGTCGAGGTTCTAGAAAAAGGGTCAAAATTTTGAATTTTTTAAAATTTCCAAAATTATTTTTTATAGGGTTCTAGCAACGAAAAACTACTGTACAGGGTGTCCCAAAAAAAACGAACCATCTTGCATTTCGCTGTATTATATCCGATCGGCCCCAAAATTGGACCAGAGGTGTATCAGACCCTAAATAACAACAATCCTGACTTATAGCCCTGTAGCTACAGTAGTTCTAGAGTTATGGCAAAAACAAAACTTAGTTTCTATTTTTCATAGGGTTTTCGTGGAATTAGACCCCCTAAACATTAAGTGAAAATGTTCCGAAAGGCCTTCTTTACCTTAAGAAATTTTTTCCAGACTAAAATTAATTAAATAAGCGTCGATTTAAGCGATTTTTACAACGCAAAATTACCCAGGTTCTTAAGCGAAATTAGGGATTCGCAGTCGGAAGTCGATGCAAATCGATGCAAAGTCCAAAAAGATAGCCGAAAAAACTGTTCAGAATTCCAGGAAAAGTAGTATTTTCCTTATAACTCGAGAACGACTGTAGCTACAGGGCTATAAGTCAGGATTGTTGTTATTTAGGGTCTGATACACCTCTGGTCCAATTTTGGGGCCGATCGGATGTAACACGGCGAAATGCCAGATGGTTCGTTTTTTTTGGGACACCCTGTATATCATGAACAGCGGCTACGGTTGGTAAGAGTTTACTTTACCCCCCCGAGCCGGAAGTTTTTGGCTATAACTTTTTTATTTTACATTATTGTAGGCTCAAATTAAAACTCTGGCTAAACTCCAGATAACCCCCCAGCCGACCCCCCACCTGCCGTATCTCGGCTCCCTGTTCATCTACAGGCGTGTAAAGTATACCAAAATACTCGCCACAGCAAGACGAACATTTTGGTATACTTTACACACCTGTAGATGAACAGGGAGCCGAGATACAAAAATTGGGTGCAGGCTGGGGGGGGGTTATCTGGAGTCTTACCAAAACTCTTAGTATATTTTTCGACGCTCTATCGAATGGTGTTGCAAAAATCCCGACAAAATAAGCGAAAATACCGACAACTTTGAGACCCTTCGGCTGTGGGGGGGTAAAGTAAACTCTTACCTGAACAGCTCTTCCCCGGCTAAAATCTCCCGCTGCTAACAGTCCAGAACCGCCCCACTTGGTTCTAATTTTCATCCTTGTCAGCGGGTTGTCGTCCCTGATGCCGTCGAGGTCGGTCTTGATCTCCTCATCTCCTGGCTGCGGGTCGTTCAGTCCCCATTGATCGGCCAGGTTTTTCCCTGAAAATAATCTCAGGGTTGAATGCCAGGTACTGCACTATTAGCAGGGGGAAATTCCGTCAGCACCCCCCGCTAACAGTTCAGTACCTGAGCGTTTGGAGTCTCTGCCAGATTCGTGTCCCTCATCGGATCCGGGCGGGGATTTGTCGCGCCGCCGCATCTTCCTTGATTTTTTGCCTTTGCGGGAACTTGGCGCCGGCTTCTCCTCGCTTTTCCCGCAGAATAGGAGCGAGAAGCTGAAACGGTTCGGCTGACTGAAAAGGGCCGGGGAAAGGGATTGAATCGGAAGCGGAAAAGCCATAAAAAACGGTCTAGACACTGGGACTTACGTTAGAAAAAGGATGGACATGGGAATAGAGGCCATTGAATAGAATGCGTAGAACATTTTGTACACTCGGTTGATATAGCTAGTATAAAAAAGTATAAATGACGTATATTCCCGGGGCCCGCACTAAGTCCTGATTATTGAAGTAGAATCGATGTAAATATCTCCCCGATTCAAACTCAAATGTTGGGCCCGAGTCAAAATGAATTGGCTTAACTTTCCCTAAATTTTTTCCTTGTTTTGTCAAAAATGAAAGTAAAGCACCAAAAAGGTAAATATTTTCGAATTTTTAAAATTTAAAAATATTTTTCAACTTTCTAGACATCAAAATACCAAAAACCCTTACAAACAGATTTTACAGAAAAACAGGAAGTCGTTTGCCCCCGCTAAACCCCCGCCCCCCGCTAACAGTCCAGCACCGTTTATTGCATACAATTTCTAGTAGACAGTTTATATCCAAGTCTTTATTGAGCACGCAAAGTCAATCGTTAAAAAGAGTGAAAATGGATCATTTCTTCTTGTGGGGAATGTACGGCTTGAGGCCGAGGTCCGCCCAATAGGTCACCATCTTGCAAGCATTGCACGGATCTGTAAGAATCAATGGTTCAAGCGGAAACGAGATGCTCACCTCGAGGAGTACAGCGCACCCCGCTGCAAAACGGCTTCTCCCGGTAGCGGCTGGACGCCGTTCTGCACAATTACTTTTGGTACTGGACTGTTAGCGGGGGAGACCAACTTCTTTTTTCCGCCTACCTAACTGTTGATGATATAGTTTGTATGTTCCTAGGGTTTGAATAGTTTTTCATCGCTAGAAATTTATAAAAAATCTTGTGAAAAATTTTGAAAACTAGAAAAAGTTCGATTTTTTTAGGTCGTTTTTCATACATCTTTGTCCCAAAAGATCAAAGATTTTCGAAATTTTCATTTTTTTTTGTTATATTGTTTGTCTAAAACCTGTGTAAAATGCTTCAAAAATGGTCTGATATTTTGTTATAGGGCCGTAGAGAATCACAAGAAAAATGTGGTTCCCCCCCCCCGCTAACAGTCCAGAAACAAAAATTCGGCCAAAACGTACAGGTAAGCAGCGGAGCACGTGGCACAGAGGGGCGGCCCGTACTTGTTCGTGACGCGCTGGAGGCCGATCTCTGCGGGGCATCTACAGCAGATCCCATCCTGAAAAAAGAGTTTTTAGCGTCGATCGGGTTTAGAGGTCCAGACCTCACGGACAGGGGGACGTCCAGGGGAACGGATAGCAAGCTTGGTGATGTCCTGAAAAACCAAGTGCTTTAGGGAACTCCGACTCAGGTTCTCTGGCTAAGCCTAAGCTAAGCCAAGTCGCAGCTAAGCCGAACCCAAGCAACGCCAAACCCAAAGCTAAGCCAGGCTCTAAGCTAAGCCAAGTCGAAGCTAAGCATAAGCCAGGCCGAACCCAAAGCTAAGCCAAGCCAAGCCTAAGCCAAGTCTAAGCATAAGCCAAGCCGAACCCAAAGCTAAGCCAAGCCAAGCCTAAGCCAAGTCTAAGCATAAGCCAAGCCGAAGCTAAGCATAAGCCAGGCCGAACCCAAAGCTAAGCCAAGCCAAGCCTAAGCCAAGTCTAAGCATAAGCCAAGCCGAACCCAAAGCTAAGCCAAGCCAGGCCTAAGCCAAGTCTAAGCATAAGCCAAGCCGAACCCAAAGCTAAGCCAAGCCAAGCCTAAGCCAAGTCTAAGCATAAGCCAAGCCGAACCCAAAGCTAAGCCAAGCCAAGCCTAAGCCAAGTCTAAGCATAAGCCAAGCTGAACCGAAAGCTAAGCCGAACCCAAAGCTAAGCCAAGCCAAATCTAAGCTAAGCCGAAACCTCAGTGATAAGCCCTGACATTCCGATCTTTGATGAACATAAACTTTTATTCAGTGATACACAAATAGAGCAAGTAATTAGTTATCGATCGGGTTTTCGGGCAGATAGGTTCCGATCGCAGCAAGGATCTTGAGCACGGGACCGACTTTGAGAGGGCGGGTAGCATCAGGAGAAGTGGTGACGACGGTTGGCATTGGAGCAGGAGCAGCGGTGTTGAGGAGGAGCATCAGCATGTGAAGGGCGGCGGGAAACGGTAGTACCCTCCTCGTCCACCTCATCATCCGAAGACGGCGATGGGGGGAGACTTGGCTTGGTGTGCACAGCCAGGTCGAAGGGCGAACCCCACTGCACCGCATCTTCCACCTGAAGCAATTGAGTGTTAATGATAAGTCATCTCATGAATGTACCTCTGGGAGGTCAAGGGAAAAGTTGGGCCCTTCTCCATTCTCATCCTCATAGGCGCGGCGCAGGGCGCGGGCCTCCTTCATCTGATACTGGGCCAAGGCATAGCAGCGGCCGAGCTGAAACAGCTGTTTTAAAAAAAGATTTTTTTAGTAACTTTCTAGGAGGCAAACACTACTTCAAACTACAGTAAAAACTACTAAAAACACTACCTCCTTGGAATGGGCCTCTTGCGCGGCTTTCATGGTGGCAGCGGCGTCGTCCAGCTTCTTCTTCAGCTCCCTTTCGGTCTTTTCGAAGTACTCGTCAACCACCTATAAAGTTGGGTAAATTTCTCATTGATAATTGAATTTGTGGTCGAGGAATAAAGATGAACTAAAAAAGACGGAAAAAGGAGGGAAAAGAAGAAAGAAGAAGATAAAAAAATAAGGGCCAAATTAAAGGTTTGTCTAATAAAGATTGGAATACCTTCTTCAGCTGGTCGGAGGTGTAGTCCTTGTAGATGTCCTCGACCTCTTCTTTGCCAGGTGCGCGAGCCGACGAACAATTCTCCCGTCGTAGCGCTCCAACGACCGGCTTGCAATCGCCATCCTCTGCAAAGATCGATGGATTTTGGGGGTGCTTTGGCAATATCGGGGGGGGGGGAGGAATGGCAAGATTTTGTGTGTCCAGAAATGCCAAAGTGCAAGAAAAAAGTGCTTACTGGCACTTTCGACGGCGGAGCTGTCATCGGCTTCTCGTTGGCGTGCCGAATCTCGTCCTTCTCCGTCCACAACCCGAGCACGGCCTGCTCCTCAATCACACGCAGCCCGGGGAGCCGCTTCAAGATCACCGCCATCACCATTTCTTCATATTGGTAGTCCCATAGGGCCGTATCGTAGGCGAGGTGCGCTTGCGAAAGGGTGACGGTGGCCCCTTCACGCTCCGTAGTCAGGTTGCTGGGGTTCTAAAAAGGGTTCAGAAGCAACCAACAGGCCATACAAATTCCATTGTTGGGCGATCAGTAGACAATAGCTGGATTAGTAGAATCGATAAAATTGCTGAAATGACCTCTGCTTTAATACGTTCATTCCTGTGCAAATCATTGAAAGATTCCGGTTCTTGCCAGGCGTTATGTTAATTTAGGCTTTGAGGCTATTCAGACCGGACCTCCATTTCCGGTGTATGCTAATTGTTTCCTAACAAAGAGGGTCTCGGATTTTTCATCAAAAACTAAAATTTAATGTCGAAAATAGGCTATTTTTATAAATCTGACATGCGTGCAGTCATCTCCAGACCATTACGCTCCTAATGACGTATCAAACATGCCCCTAACTATTCTTCTTGTTGAGATATGACTGGAACAACCTGACGGAAGTTGCGTGCAAATGCACACACGCACACAAACACAGAGACACTATTTTTTCTAGATGGTAGGATTTAATTATTTTAACGACTAATTTTATTATTATTATTATTATTTATTCTCACACAAGGTTAACAAAGTCAACGCTTACAGTATGAGGAATCGAGCGTAAATAGGGTGATGGAGAAGATAGATAAATAAAGGGAAATTAGGATTAATAAGATTCTGAAGACGTGGAAGAGGGGAATGGGAATAGGAGACTAGATTGATGAGAACACGATCACAGTAGATAGGAGACGGGGATAAGTCGGGAAAGATGATTTTTGAAGGCTTTCCTAGACGGGCTGTCAATGGCAGTTTGGGGAAAAGAATTCCAGAGAGCAGCTACGCGAGTGGAGAAAAAAGCTTTTGACACAGAGGTTTTTGGAGCCAGAATAGGACTAATTTTGGTTTTAAGTCCACGAGTTCGAGAGGGGGCGGCAGAAAAGAAAGTATTTTCAGAAATATTAGAAGGAATCTTATGGAGATTAAATAGAAAAAGAAAATCCGCGGTCAGCCTCCTATTGTTCAATGGTTCGAGATTGAATTGAGTGCATGCCGAACGATAGGAGACGTACGGGACTTGGCACCGGTAGCATACGCGTCGAGTGAAGTCTTTCTGAATTGTTTCTAGAGCAATCTGATCTTTTCTGAGCCAAGGGGATGAAACTACTGAGGCATATTCGATTATAGGCCTGATATAAACTAGAAATGCCTTTATATACAAATTTGGAATTTTACTACGAAAAATTTTGAAAATAAGAAAGGAGCAGCGAGCTGCTTTTTTCGTCACCTCTACCACATTTGGCGAGCAGCTGAAGTCATCGCATAGCAGGACACCCAGATCACGAATGCATTTTGATTGTGGGAGCGGGTTTCCATTTAGTGAATAAGTGTTCTTCGGATTTCTTCTGCCATAGTGTACAGAAGAGCACTTTGGGGCAGCAAGAGTCAGCTGATTTTCCGAGACCCAGGACTCGAGCTTAAGCAGCTGAGCAGACATATCAGATGGACTAGTGTTGGAAAAATGGGAGATTAGCTTTAGATCGTCCGCAAAGAGTAAACCATTCGGTAGATGTTGAGGATCATTTAGGTCATTTATGTATAGAATAAAAAGCAGGGGCCCGAGGACGGATCCTTGTGGAACACCAGACAGTACTGGCGCAGGAATAGAGTATGAATCACCAACTCGAACGGTTTGAGAACGACCCACTAGCCAGTTTCTTATCCAGCCAAGAAGCGGGTCCGCAATTCCGTAGGTGGAAAGTTTTCGGAGTAGCCGGGAATGGCAGACGGTATCGAATGCCTTCGCGAAGTCGATATAGCAAACATCAGAAAAAAGTCCTTTCTGATCAGATATTAAGAGATTGTGCTGATGAACTAGCAACTGGGCAGTTGTCGAGCGAGCTTTCAAGAAACCAAATTGGTTCTTCGATAAGAGTTTTTCATCTTCAAGGAACTCAGAGAGAGCCTTCCGAACAACCTTCTCCATGATTTTGCCGAAGGAGCTCGTCAAAGAGATCGGACGGTAGTTGCCAGGTTCAGATTTCTTGCCTTTCTTAAATATGGGACAAATTATAGCTTTTTTCCAGCTGTAGGGCACAGCGCCAGTGTGGAAGCTTCTGCTGTAGATTAGAGAAAGGGGGAGGGATAGGGAACCAGCACATTCTTTTACAAAGAATGCTGGCACCGGGTCAGCAGTTTGGGTGAACTTGGGCTTAAGAGAGGTGACAATGGTCCGCTCTATAATATGAGGGCTAAAATCGACAAACGATAGTAATTTGTTGGTCCTTATGGGCAAATAGGAAGGTACGGCAGGGCTGGTAGTGAATACTGAGGCAAATTGTGACTGCAGGGCATCAGCTTTTTCAGCATCAGTCACGGCCATCTCATGCTGACTAATAAAGAGTGGAGGAATTGCATTATCGGTAGAAGTCTTTGACCGAACGTAACCATAAAATTATTTTAATGGTTATTTTAATTCTTTTAAACAGTCAATTTAATTATTTCAACCAGTTAGTTTAATTATTTTAACCAGTTAATTTAATTCTTTTAACCAGTAATTTAATTATTTTAACCAGTTAATTTAATCCTTTTAACCAGTAATTTAATTCTTTTAACCAGTTAATTTAATTAATTTAACCAGTTAATTTAATTCTTTTAAACAGTTAATTTAATTAATTTAACCAGTTAATTTAATTATTTTAACCAGTTAATTTAATTATTTTAAACAGTTAATTTAATTATTTTAACCAGTTAATTTAATTCTTTTAAACAGTTAATTTAATTAATTTAACCAGTTAATTTAATTATTTTAACCAGTTAATTTAATTATTTTAAACAGTTAATTTAATTATTTTAACCAGTTAATTTAATTATTTTAACCAGTTAATTTAATTATTTTAACCAGTTAATTTAATTCTTTTAACCAGTAATTTAATTCTTTTAACCAGTTAATTTAATTAATTTAACCAGTTAATTTAATTCTTTTAACCAGTTAATTTAATTATTTTAACGGTTATTTTAATTCTTTTAAACAGTTAATTTAATTATCTTAACCAGTTAATTTAATTATTTTAACCAGTTAATTTAATTCTTTTAACCAGTTAATTTAATTATTTTAACCAGTTAATTTAATCATTTTACCGGTTAATTTAATCAACTATAATAATTTTGCTGTGGTCTCCGTCTGTCCGTCCGTGTGAAGCCGAATTCAACTCGAAGGGGAAAGGAGCTAGAGCTTAGCTCTCTTCGGATTCGGATAGAGCGTGGTCAGAAACCCCCAAACTGATAAAAAATTATTAAAAAGTTTTAGTTTAAATTATTAAATTTAACTTTGAAAGTTTTTTCCTTAGTAAAAGGGGTGGGGGACGGAGGTTGGGGTGATTTTGGACATAGTGAGCCAGGTCGCGCGCGTTTCGTGGATGAAAATTTTCACGGGGGATTTCATTTCTTTTTTTTCTCTCATTCCATCCGGTCGGTCGTTATTTTTGTTTTTTTTAAGGGGTTTCAGCCATGGGGGGTATCTGAAGCCATCAGGAAGGTATTTAGGTAGTTTTTGAAGGGGATTTCAGCCATGGGGGTTATCTGAAGCCATCGGGAAGGTATTTAGGTAGTTTTTGAAGGGGATTTCAGCCATGGGGGGTATCTGAAGCCATCAGGAAGGTATTTAGGTAGTTTTTGAAGGGGATTTCAGCCATGGGGGTATCTGAAGCCATCAGGAAGGTATTTAGGTAGTTTTTGAAGGGGATTTCAGCCATGGGGGGTATCTGAAGCCATCGGGAAGGTATTTAGGTAGTTTTTGAAGGGGATTTCAGCCATGGGGTTATCTGAAGCCATCGGGAAGGTATTTAGGTAGTTTTTGAAGGGGATTTCAGCCATGGGGGTTATCTGAAGCCATCGGGAAGGTATTTAGGTAGTTTTTGAAGGGGATTTCAGCCATGGGGGGTATCTGAAGCCATCGGGAAGGTATTTAGGTAGTTTTTGAAGGGGATTTCAGCCATGGGGGTTATCTGAAGCCATCGGGAAGGTATTTAGGTAGTTTTTGAAGGGGATTTCAGCCATGAGGATTATCTGAAGCCATCGGGAAGGTATTTAGGTAGTTTTTGAAGGGGATTTCAGCCATGGGGGGTTATCTGAAGCCATCGGGAAGGTATTTAGGTAGTTTTTGAAGGGGATTTCAGCCATGGGGGTTATCTGAAGCCATCGGGAAGGTATTTAGGTAGTTTTTGAAGGGGATTTCAGCCATGGGGGGTATCTGAAGCTATCAAGAAGGTATTTAGGTAGTTTTTGAAGGGGATTTCAGCCATGGGGGGTATCTGAAGCCATCGGGAAGGTATTTAGGTAGTTTTTGAAGGGGATTTCAGCCATGGGGGTTATCTGAAGCCATCGGGAAGGTATTTAGGTAGTTTTTGAAGGGGATTTCAGCCATGGGGGTATCTGAAGCCATCGGGAAGGTATTTAGGTAGTTTTTGAAGGGGATTTCAGCCATGGGGGGTATCTGAAGCTATCAAGAAGGTATTTAGGTAGTTTTTGAAGGGGATTTCAGCCATGGGGGGTATCTAAGGCCATCAGGAAGGTATTTAGGTAGTTTTTGAAGGGGATTCCGGCTAGGAAAGGTATCTAAAGCCATCAGGGAGGTATCGAAGTAGTTTTTTTAAGTGGATTGCATGAAGGGTAGCCCGAAGGCCAGATGGTTACAGTCGCGAAGCGACTGGAACCATCTGGTTATTTTAACGGTTAATTTAATTATTTTGACGGTTTAACTCAAGCAAAATATTTTCTACTAATTAATTAATTAAGCAAAATACTTTCTACTATTAAACTGGGCATTTTTAGACCGACGCAAAATAATTTGTATCCCCCTGATCCGCCTCCCCCCCTCGATATTGAGAAAAGAACCATTTTCAGCAAGCCCGACGACTCGAAAGGGGGAAAAGCCGACGAGAAGAAGGACGAAAAGAAGACGGCCAGCAAAAATTGGAAAAAGAAATAAGAAAGAAAGCAAAAAAGAAATCGGCCGGCCTGAACAACCCGGAAAGGATCCCGATGGCCACCGAGAAGCATAGCGACAACTCCTGACAAAAGGACAATGCGCGATTCTGTC